TGCGAAGTGTTTATTACATAACCACTTATTTCATGCACTTCTGAAAATACGTGCTCTTCTTTCTTTATATCCAGTACAACTTATTGTACTGAGCGTTTTGCCTCGAAAAACAGGAAAATCCGCACCCAAAGCGAGACTTTACCGATCCAGTATATTTAAATTATCTACATGATTTCTGATGTGTATATTCTATTCAATCTCTGAGACTCTGGGTCGTCTAGTTTAAGGAATGAATCGATTCCGGTAAAATTCAACAATTTTGCTTTAATTGGACGCTTAGTTATTTTATTTACATAAAGTTTTTCTAATGTTATTATCAAAAACATATGACAGAGACTTATGAACTATGACAGCTGACAAAAACTCAACTTTTAACGATTATTTATTTAATATTTTGTAAAGAAAATCACAAGCAAAATGTCGTATGAACGTCTACATAACTCTTTTATGCAGCAACGAAGGTATACTACTGGATCTGGAAAAAGTAAGGCAACATTTGAATAAGAGCAACATAAATTAAATACACCATCAACTTGACGATAACAAAAATTTTACCCATGTTTACTGAACATATATTTACAGTTTTCTGGTATTAAATTCCATTTTAAATTAGGATTTACTGGTCATTTGCCCTTCGGATATGCGGCATTCGGAAAAACCAACGAAGCCATGACGAATAGCGCCCTTTGTGACTTTACCTCGAACTACCGCAAAAGATTGAGCAACGAATGGGCTCCAGTAGAAATTGATCGTCCAGACCCTCCGGTGTTAGTTCAACCATCTGAAATCTATCACAGACATATTGGACAACTTCCAAACTATGGTGGACATATTCCTGGTGCAATATTTAGGTATACATACTTTATTCCCACACTACCACAGATTATAGTATATATTATTCAACGAGCATATAATGGTGGCTGTTATTCACGCGGATGAAGTTTATGTTTATCATATATCATCCAAGTGAACAACACCACTATACTTTATCCAGGACTATCAAAAAAACTTAGATAATATTAATATAAGTTTTTATTTTTAATGTCAAAAAAATATTGAACGAGTACTTATAATGAGTAAGTAACATGGAAACAAAACATTGAAATTTTCGTTAATTAGGTAGCTATAACCCTTGTTTATATATTCTTAAAGTTGCCCAACCGACTAGACAAAATGTGCTTCCAACTGGAGGACAAATCGTGAACCTTTCGGGGCGGAGTCAAAAATATCGATTATTTTCGTTATTTTCCTCAGAGTAATGTAATAATAACCAAGTTCGGTAATCACATCCAGATGTCGACGGATTTTTTGTCACGTGATCACAGATTGGATGGAGTAACCTGAAATTACCGAACGGTTTGGAATGTTCGGATCACTTAGGGAAAAGTGACAAGTTTGAAATCCCAATTCCCAATTGAAATCTATCAACGTTCAAAGACAAAAGGACCAGTAATTTATTTTTTGAGTTTTGTACGTGGTTTTGCATTAAGCAACAAAATAAACAATTTAAAACTTGACATCAACTTGGAAATTTAACCTCACTAACAAACTAATCTGTTTGCTCCGTCAAAATTCTCCGAGCAAAAAGATCACCGTCCGATTGCTCCGATTTTATTTACCGAACGGTTGAGATTTACTTCCCCTACATCTGGATGTCATAAGCGAACGATCGAGATCGATCCGAGCGGTCGGACGTGAATACCGAACGCGCCTAATATAGCCAGGGTTTCTGAGAACTTTAATAGTGATCAGCTGATTAAGAAATTTAAACGAAACTTTTATTTTATTGTAAATTGTGGATTATTTTTGCCTGTTATTATAAGAATTCTAAACCGTATTAACAAAGAAATCATTATTTCGATATGTTGGTACATTATTTATATTTATGATAATGCTGCTAATTGCTGTTAATTAATATTTAAAAAGTTACATACCTATTTTAATTTGATTTAATGCAGGTTTATAAAAGAATCATTTCATTCTTAGATTATTTTATTCTAAATTGAGTGCTTTACAGATTTTATGATATTTTTTTTGAAAACATAGGAAACTTTTACATTTTTGATGCCAACTAATAGTGTGGCATGGTATTATCAAGAAAATGGCGCATCCGCCAGAAATTAAAAATGTATTACTGGTTGCCTGCACAACCGCAACGTATCCGCCAGAAATTAAAGAAAGACTTTTCAGGCGCCATCTTTTAGTCAAGTCGAAAGTAGGGAATCGAACAATTAAATTGTCTGGTATGAAGAAAGTACGCTTTCAAAGGTGGAAATTTCGAAAGCAGTCAATGGAGAATTATATAAGCCGGAGCCATCGTCAACTGGGACAGTTTTGAAATTTGAATATACCGCGTGGAAGTGAAAAATCGGACAATTTTGGTGAAGGAATCTTATAAATAGTTAGTTTGTTGTGTGTTATAAGTTGAATGGTTGTGTATAAAGTGAGAAAATAAATTCGTTAAAGTATTTTATCGTGAGTTTAAATTAGTGGACCCACACGGAATCCGTAACAATTGGTGTCAGAGTGGGATTCAAGAGGATTTTAAAGAAGAAATTAAGTGGATTGGAAGATTTTTTAGACCAATTTTAAGTATTTCTATGGTTGGTACAAGGGAGCAAGCGAAAGAAAATGGAGGAAGTAAGCAAATTATTGGGCGATTTTATGGAGAATATGAGGAAGAGAAAGAGAGGAACAAGAACCGTCTACAGAAAGTACTTATGGAAAATCAAGAAAAATGTTAGAAGGTTAGAAGCGCGTCAAAAGAAAGAAAAACAAGAAGAACAGGACCGGCAGAGACAAAATTTTCGAAGATTTGAAAATTCAACGAACAAGACAAACAAGAAGAACAGGACCGGCTTGAAAAATTCTGGAAGATTTCAAAGTTCAACGAGAGCACGACAAACAAGAAGAACAGGACCGGCTTCAGAAAGTTCTTGAAAATCAAGAAATTAGACAAAACGGTTTGGAGAAAATTGTTGAAAGATTTAGAAGTGCGTCGCCAGAAAGAAAAATTAGAAGATCAAAACCGATTTAAGAAGAACTTTGAAGAACTGAAAAAGGCAAGAACATCCACCTTCAAAGAGCCGTGAAGATCTTGAGGAACGCCTTCAGCAGAAAATGGAAAAAATTAGAGATGGACCTACAGAAGACCAAGGTACAAGTAAAGACACCTGGCGTTCATGGAACTGCGAACCTCAAGGCCCCGACCTACGATGGACAAACCACCTGGACGATGTACCACCGCCAGTTTGAAGCAGCCGCCGCTGCCAACGGATGGACTGACCAGGAGAAAGCAGCGGCACTTGTAACAGGGGGAAATTTTGAGGGTCGGTTTGATGAAGTAAAAGGCGATAGTTTAAGTTCCTCGTGTATTTCTCTCTCTCTTTTGTAACTCTTTGCTATAATGGCTAGAAAATTATATAAACTGATTTGCTGATCTTAAATATTATGGATAATTCTTACCTAGCATAAGTTAATTCATACAAAATATAATAACTAATAAGATGTATGGTGAAATTTTAAACCACAGGCTGCCATCGTTATTTGCAAAAGTTAAGAATAAATGTAGAAATAAATTTACTTAAAATCGAAGATATTTTTAATACATACCAGATTTATTTAATAAAATGGGTATGAGCGGCGACATCTACAAGACAGGTGTTTCAACGCATTGAATGTTAATAAGGTTTACTACATTTTACACTAAAATATTCCCATGTAGTTCCGCAACCAATTTAACAACAAATATTCAGTAACCTAATATATTCTGTTTCATCTGCCTCCCTGTGAACTGAGGTCGAAGAACACACAGGAGTTCACATAATTTATAAATTTAATAAATAGTATCAATATATGTGCTATAACTATATAGCTCACACAATTTATGGCGGGTGATATGCCTTAAGATGGCTTACGTGGAATAATAAGCCGCGTTCAATAAACGATTCCGGGTGCTCTAACATATACGTATTTAAAACTTACAGCACTCTTTATTCGATCAGGTCCTTCAAATAACAAAAGAGAATTTTTTGTTTCTGCACTTAAAGCAGAGGATATATTATTAGATCGAAGTAAAACTAAATCTCCCTCTTTAAATACCGGGTATGGTCGACTTGGATAGTTAATAGCTCTCCGTGCTGCGCGACTTTGTAATGTTTCTTTGGCAAGCCACATTTTCCTCTCCGAACTAACATCCTGTGTCCCGATGGGATTTGAAAGAAATGACGGAAGAAATTTAGGCACGGTGGTGTTGTGCTGCAATTCGTGCGGAGTAAAACCTGTCGATTCGTGAACTACAAAATTCATCAAGACAGCAAATCTTTTTAATTCATGTGCCCAACGAGTATGTTGCCCCGCACAATATACGCGACACAAGCGTCCTAGTTCCCTCATTACTCTTTCGGAAGAGTTTGCTTGGGGGTGTCTAATCGAATTAAAAATAACCTTTATACCTAGAGATTCCAAAGTTTCTCGCCATCGTTTAGAAGTGAACTGAGAACCATGGTCTGAAAGAATACGATTTGGTCGGCCATTTTTAGGAAAATAATCTAAAATTAGACGATTAAGTGCAGCTCGAGTGGTTGCATTTTTTAAAGGATATAACGCAATGTATTTAGTAAATACGTCCAAGACTACTAAAACATATTTGGCACCAGCACGACTTCGCGGTAGGGGACCATATAAATCTAAAGCTACTAAGTCACCTTTAGCATCAGGAATAATAGGATTTATAGGTGGTTTAGGCATGCGCGATATCTTTGTCTTTTGACAGACGTCACAGTGTCGTAATATTTTTTTAATAGTAGCATACATATTCGTCCACCAAGCCTCGGTGCGAAGAGCTGACCACGTTTTATATACACCGTAATGGCCCAACATCTCGTGATATGCTTCAACAAAATCAGACTGCATCACTTTAGGAACACAAACCAAATACGGTTCATCGGATGCTTGTCGATAATATAATACGTCTTGGTGGAGTGCAAATCGTTCTTGTAGTTTTAAATCAGATGATAGTGCCGATATAATATCATTTAATTTTTTATCATCGCGTTGCACTACTGCGATAGCTTTTATTTTTCTTAAAAACTCCGTGGGTAATTTAAGAGTTGATAAAATTTTGAATAATCTATTCTCCGGATAAGGGGGAGCTTTAGCACTGTCCCGTGATAGCGCGTCTGCTACAATATTATCTTTTCCCGAAATATGCTCAATAGAAAAATCAAATTCCTGTAAGGCTAGGACCCAACGCGCGATTCGCGGCGAGAGTAGTCGACAAGTGTTAATATACGTTAAAGCTTTATTATCAGTATGCACCGTAAAATGGCGACCCAATAGATATACACGCCATCGAGTTAACGCAAATACACACGCAAGAACTTCCTTTTCATTACTATGGTACCGCGTTTCTCTTGGAAGCAATAATCGACTCGCATAAGCTATCGTACGAGATTCACCATCCAACACTTGGTAAAGTTGTGCCCCTAAACCATATTCGCTTGCATCTATGTTGACATGCCATTCGGCTGACAAAACCGGATGATAAAGCATTGCTGCATTTATTAATAAATCCTTTATCTTCTCAAAAGCTTTCTCTTGTGGCTCTTTCCATTCCCATCGAACAGTTTTCCGCAATAATTTCGTTAGAGGCTCACAAAATGATGAAAACGATTTACAAAAGGATCTGTCAAAATTGCATAAGCCTAGAAAGCGCTGAAGTTGCTTAACGTTGTGTGGTCGCGTGTATTCTACAATAGCTTTTACCCTAGACGGATTTGGTTTAATACCATTACTGTTTATCACATATCCCAGAAAATTAAGTTGATCACAAAAAAAATCACATTTACTT